TTTATTTTATTTTAATCATCATCATCATCATCATCATCATTATTATTATTTCAATAAATTTTTATTTAAAAAAAAAGAGAAAAAGAGAAAAATTAATTCACGTTTTTCTTATTTCCTTTTACTCACGTTTAACTTACATAATTTATTTTTATTTTTTAAATAAATAAATAAATAAATTTTTATTTATTTACATGACGTTTTTTTAAATATCTTCTGCTATTTATTTATCGATTTATAACGTAAAAAATTATCCAGTGGGACCCAAATAAAAAAAAAATAAAAAATTTATTAATTTTTTTACGAATTCCATCAAATCAATTTTTTTTTGAAAAAAGGGGAAGAGAAGGGGAGGGGAGGGGGAAACCCCGAGAAAACGAAAAACAGATAATAATAATTTATTAATTAAAATTAAAAAAAGAAAAACATTTTTTACACCTAAAAATTATTTGAAAAATTTTATGTACGTGTGTGTGTGTGTGTGTGGAAAACGATTTTTTTTTTTTTTTTTTAATGACGGTCATTATCTAGAACATTCGGGGTGAATTGTGGGGCATTAAAATAAAATAAAAAAATACACAAATCGATAAGTTCCTTAAAAAAAAAAAAAATTTCCCCTTTTAATAATAATAATAATTTTTTTTTAGTCTTAAAGTCATAAGTTTTTTAATTAAGTTTCAATGCAAGTCAGTAATAAACGATTTTATAAAATTGAAAAAAAAACCGTCGTCGTAAACATAAACACGATGGTGAAAATAATAATAATAATAATAATAATTTAACGATGTAATAAAATTTATATGGATAAAAACACAAATTACAGTTAATATTTAATAATAATAATAATAATAACGTGAGTAAAAGTTTAATAATTTAAATTCTTAATTGTCGGTCGAAATTAAAAAAAAAACTCGTGGAATTACGTAAGAGAGAGAGGGGGGGGGTATGGGGGCATGGGAGGGGAAAAAAAAGAGAATTAAATTGTCATGTTATACAAAGAGAGTAACATTTTAAAAGTTTTAAACGTTA